GGCTGCCTGGTGGGCACGAAAAACGGGCAAGGTGAGTCTTTCATAGAAAAGACAATCACGTGATGGAACGATTTGATGGGAGCGAAGGTCCAAAAACTTCCATGCGTGATACTGTTTTGCGATGCCGAGATGTACCCCCCATTTTGCTCGTTCCGAAAATTTGCCGAGAGCTGCAATTGGAGGACAAAACTGTACAACACACCCAAAAACTCGTAAAAGTTTTGTGCTCCCCATTGTAAGTGTCCACTGCAGGTGTGGAGAAGAAAACTCGGGCAGGGACGTTGAAGAAAGAAGATTGTATAACAGCACGGCGTGGTCCATCGCATACGGCCAAAATTGCGGTGGAAGGGCTGCCTGCGTCAGCAGAGCACGCATCTTCTCCTGAAGAGTCATGTTCATCCTTTCTGCTACCCCCATCTGTTGGTGTGCATGTGGCAGCGACTGCTTCCGTTTGATGCCGAGTGTCTGAAGGTAGTCAGTGAAGGTGTTGCTGGTGTACTTCCCTGCACCATCGCTCTGAAATTCTTGCAGTTTCATTCCTGACTCTCGTTCAGCGACAGCGAGCCACGCGACGAAGACGGAGTGAGCGAGATGTCGCGCAGGTAAGTTAGCTGTCCAGACATAGCGTGTAGACGCCTCGATGAAGGTTATCACATATTTCTCATCTTTAGGGCCTGCTTCAGACAAGGTGAGTATGTCGCTGTAAACTTTCTGCATCAGTTTGTAACGAGTTGAACCAGGAAAGTGGCTTGGAAACGGATCGTGGGTAAGGTTGGCAACTGGACAAGTGGTGCAAACTGTCGGACGAGACTGCGGCTTCATCTCCGTGCCATCGGGTAAAAGTAAACTGTTTTTATCAAGAACTGCTGCTCGGATTGAATGATTAAGAATCTCTTGTGATGGATGCCCTAACCTTTGATGCCATATATCTTCCGTGGCTTTGTGTCCTGATGATCGCAGGTAAAAATCGGAGTTAGTATAAAAGGAAGAAAGAATGAAAGGAGAAAGGGCTGGTGACTTGTCGATTTCTCCTTCGACGAAACGGTGAAGTGGTAACGTGACTTGTGTTATTGCTGCTGCAGGTGTGAGTATAACCCCTGATACTGCTTCTGTTGATGTCGTGGCAGGTGTTTCGGCGGCAGCTACTGTTGGACTCAGCTGCTCAGCTACTGCTTCCTGTTCTGCTTCTTCAACGACGTCACGTTCATCAGCTGCAAGACCACTTATCTCCCCCCAAAGTGGTGCTGGAGTTCCTTGGAAGGCTGCACGAGTGTTATAAAACGTTCGCCACGCGGTGGCGCTTTCATCAGCGGTATTAAACTCCCAGGTATCTAACGCACTAAGTACGTCGAGAAGCTGTTGGTACAGTTGTTGCTCGAAAGTCAATGTCTACATGTTGATAGTCTGTTTCTTCGGGGTGATCCCAGGGACCAAGTGCAAGGACGTGGTGAGAATCGCCAGAAGTTCCCTGTGCTGCGAATTGAAGTACCGACACGCCATATTGAGTGGCGGCACGACCAAGGTAGGTATTAGTTGTGCTGTGCCAGAGCTCTTGATCCATCGTCTCACAATTTCCTTGTGTGCGGATTTTGTGTGCCAGGAGTTGAGCTGTGGAAAGAAGGTTGAAGCCAAGACCGGCGACGATAAGAACATTCGTAACATGAAGTGAGTATCCCGCGTCGATAGATTCGAGCATGACACTGCCAACTGATCTTGCCATTATTGTTTGTCCGTTGGCGACTGTGACAGGTATCGGACGACGAAGCGGACGCTGATTCGTGATAAAGCTTGTTTCGGCAGAACACATATGCCATCCGCAGCAGCTGTCGAGATACCAGGTATTTGGTCCTGAAATTATGCGAGCAAGGTAAGCGTAAACTTGAGGTAAAGGAATGCCTTCAGCACTTGTTGTTTCTTCAAGTCGTGTTTCGAAATCCGTTTCTGAAACATCAACTGTTGTAACACATCCAAAAACTCCTTTTCCTGATGTGGCAGATGCGAAAACCGGCGGGCGCTGCTGCGACGTTGATGAACTCTGCTGCGGTTTCGGTATCTGCTGCTGCTGTGATGTCAACTGCTGCTGTGGCGGTTGTGTCTTTGGTGACTGCTGCGATCGGTGATACGGTTGCGAAGTGCTGCGACGTTGATGACGGCTGCGACAATTTTGGTAAGTATGTCCTGGTTTTTTACAGAAATGGCAGAACGGATACTTTGGTGGATGTCGATGCTGTGTTTCTGGATTGGAGTAGAAACTTAAATGAACCCCCCTTTTCTGGTTGCGTTGTGACTGCAGGTCAAGATCTTGCTGCTCTGCTTGAAGATAAGAAGAAATTTCAGCTTCGGAGAGGTTGGGATTCATGCGCAGGAAGGCGCGCGTTTGTCGCCATTCGGGTCCAAGACCAGCCAGAAGGACCGTGAGATACATCTCACGAGGGAAGTATCCTCCGCTCTTTTCCAGTTGATCGCGTAGTGTACGGACTCGGTTAACGTAGTCCATGACATTTTCGATTGTCATCATCTGCACACTTGTCAGCTGCGAAAGGATTTTACTCACTGTTATCGTATCTTTTGCCATGTATACCCCTTTCAGATGGTTCCATGCAGTTTCGGCTGGTGTGAAACTCGAGTGAAATGATCGAACGCCAAGCTGCTCCTTCGGTGACAGGTTTCGTACAAGAACTGTATACGCCCCGAGAGAGGCGTGCAAGAAACTCTGCTGCTCCAGTTGTGTTCCCGTAACAGGATTGGTGAATTCTCCGGTGAAGAACGGCCAAAGCCCAGCGGACTGCGCCAGAAGCTCAAACTCAAAGCTCCAGGAGTAGAAGTCAACACCATTAAAAGGTATGGTTGTCTTGATCTGAGTATTGTTAAGTAGATTTGGAGGCTGAAACACAGTGCCTGGCTGTTGCTGTTATTGCTGTTGCTATTGTTGCTGTTGCTGTGCTTGCTGTGGTTGCTGATAATGTTGTTGCTGTACTTGCTGTGGTTGCTGAGCAGGAGAACGACCAAAGATATAAAAATGATGTTGAAACTGCTGCGACTGCGGCTGCTGTACGAAAGGTGAGAAGGCAAACGAACCAGTATTTGGAGCTGTAGCTCCACGCATGTAACTTGAGCCGTCAAGGCTCATCCCACTGAACGCAGATGAAATTGATTGCGTTGAAACTGGTGGTTGTACTGACGCTTGCTGTTGTGTTGTCGTTTGTGATTGTTGCTGTTGCGTTGCAGGTGCAGTCGATGGAGCACCTGGAGTATTCACAGAAGGCGGATTCTGATGTTGCATACCGATATTGGCGTAGGTTGGTGGAAAGTGCCCAGAGGCTGAGAGACCAGCGGCCGTAGTGGAGGCATGTGCTCCAGTAGTCCCAGTAACTGATCCGGCAGATGGTGCTGGTGATGAACCAGTCATAGTTGACGGTAGTCTTAATTCCAGATAGCTCTCATACCATGAAATAAATCTTCTGGTGTTGTAGAAGACTAAGTATAAAACTATAAATGCCAACACTTGGCAAATCCTCAAGTGTTGGTCCAGGATCTTTGCTGGAATGGTAGACTAGTAAGACAGCGGAAGTCTTGTAAAATGTTAAGGTCAATGTTGAATAAGCTGAGTACGTGAACTTGTGAGTAATCAAAGTTGATGAAAGTTAATAATGAAAAAGACCTGACAAGGATTTATAGTTCTAGGAAAAGTACCTATTCGCTAATGTACCTGTTCGTCACTATCGCGCTATGCGCCCTAGATGATAATGAAGAGGTGCGACTGTTCGCGTGACTGAAACGACTGTCCTATGACGAGCGCTATTTGCTGACGTCATCCTACGGACTTATGTTCTACAAGAAGATTCGACACTAACTACACTTAATCGACTTACAGAAATGCTAAGTAGCAATTATTGTTCAAATTATATTTTTATATAATTGTAGGCTTGGTAGTTATGCTACTAACTGCATCCTACTGTAGGGGGGACAACCCCCTTCTTGTACTTCATTCTCTTCTAGTCTACCCCTCTTCTCTCTCGACACTCTCGTCCAGCTTCTAGCTAAACCCTTGGCCGCCATTTCATGGCGGCCTCCTCTGTTCTTCCTAGTTCAGAGTTTAACATGGTATCGAGAGCGGGATGCCCTTCCTGGGCCTGCTCCCCTCCGTGCTTTCCGCTGCGTTCTCGTGCGTTCGTCGCTCCTGCCGTGCCGCCGTGGCGGCCATGTCGCATGGCTGCCACGTCGAGCAGCCGTGCTGGGCTTGCCGCCCTGACGTGGCGGCTCCGCCGTTCCACCTCCCCGTCGCGCCCCTCCTGGGCCCTGCCGTGCCTCCTACCCACGTCGCGCCCCTCCTGGGCCCTGCCATGCCTCCTAGCCCAGTCGCGCCCCTCCTGGGCCCCGTCCCGCCTGCTCCTCCCTCCAGTAAGCGCCGCGCCTATGGCGCCGCGCTGAAGTCCTGCAGCCCCACCACAGCAGCCCCACCACCTCTCCCTCCCCTGCATCTCCTCCTGCTCCTGCCGTAGCTGCTATCTTCGGCTCGGTCGTCGCCAGCCCGTGCCACACCGCCGAGAGCCCTCAACCGCCGCAGTCGCCGCCTGTCCTCATCGACACAGCCGCCTTGAGCACGAGCTCCGCCGCTGTCGTCATTGAGGCCGCCCAGATGCGGCCAGCTGCCTCTCGACCGGGGGTGTCATAGCCTAGCACGAGGGGTTGATACCCGGCTGCTCACGAGAATGAGGGTGTCCGGGGTTAGGGGGTGTGTGTGTGGGTTGTGTGGGTTTGCCACTACCAAGCCTAGGGGGTGTGTTCAAATTATATTTTTATATAATTGTAGGCTTGGTAGTTATGCTACTAACTGCATCCTACTGTAGGGGGGACAACCCCCTTCTTGTACTTCATTCTCTTCTAGTCTACCCCTCTTCTCTCTCGACACTCTCGTCCAGCTTCTAGCTAAACCCTTGGCCGCCATTTCATGGCGGCCTCCTCTGTTCTTCCTAGTTCAGAGTTTAACAATTATAGCACAACAAGGTTGAATAATAGGAAGGCATTACAAGGATTTATAGCTCTAGGAAAGTATCTGTTCGCTAATGTACCTGTTCGTCACTATCGAGCTATGTGACCTATTCGTCATACTATAGGGTCGCGACTGTTCGCGTGACTGAAACGGTATCTGACGCCATCCCTAGACTCGCGATGCTTTGCTGACGTCAGCACTCGGACCTATTTCCTTACCGAGAAACTCGATACTGGTAACTACACTGATAACGGAACTTGCAGGAATGCAAAACTTCATATATCACAACACCATCCAGGTTGCTCCTCAGTGCGCGCCACAAAGCATCGCGCCGGTCCGCCTCACAGCTCAAGGCTTTCCATTTGCACCACTGTCTTGTGCCTACTGCCCCACTGCCCCAGCCCCCAGTTCCTGAGCCCACCGGCTCCGCCCTGCCCATTGTCCCCTCCTCCCGCCCGTTGCTCCGCACCACTTGCTTCCTCGTGATGCTCTTGGCTGCTGCCAACTGCCGCGCGTGGTCCCCCCAGGGAGGCAGCAGTGGGTGGCGAGGGCGCAACGAGGGGAGCAGAGGCAGCGGGGCGCGGTGTGGCAGAGGGCTGGATGGGGTTGGCGCAGAGGAGGCAGAGGCGCGTGCGGCGCAGGCAGCACGAGTGGTAGGAGGCGGAGCAATGCTGGCAGCGGGAAGTGGAGGACGCCTGGCAGGCAGGGAAGGGCGGGACAGGGGGGGGAGACAGTGGTGCACCAAAGGGGGCAAGAAGAGGGCTAGAAGGGCAGGTGAGAATAGCGATGAGATGAGGCGCGGGGCAGGAGCGAGAAAGGGAGTGGACGGACCTCGTAGGGGAAGATGAGGGGGCCAAAGGGGCTGCAGCATGCAGTCTGAGCTGTGCAGTGCGTGCTGGCCGCTGCAGCGCACTCGATGCACCCCGATGCCATGTGGCGCCGCAGAGAGGACGCCAGGCGCGCAAGCATGTCCGGCAGCACTGGAACGCACAGAGGGGAAAGAGAGCGGGGAGGAGGTGACGAAAGCAATGACGACAGGTAGCCCGGTAACAGCGCCAGCAGACTTGTGCCAGAGATTTCTTTGGCATGGCATGCACTGGCTCAGAGCATGAGCCATGTGAGAGGCCGTCCCCCTACCCGGGTCTCACCGGCGAATCTGCCCTTGGATGCGTCCACGAGGTCGCGCATGGCGAAGAAGCCCTCGCTCTCGCGCTGCACCAGGTACGCCCGCGCCCCCAGACGCGCCACCAGGTGGCGCCGCAGCGGGCACGCGGCGCCCATGGCGGCGTGCAGCACAGCCAGGTGCGCACGCAGGCGCTGGATGTGCGCCAGCACCGGCACACGGCGCGGCAGCAGCGGACTCACTGCACTCAGACACAGCAGCGGCTGGGGAGGGGGGATAAGGGGGTTGAGAAATGTGTTTGGGTGGCATGGGCATGCTGGCATGGGGCTCACGCTGTGTGTGGATGGGTGCAACAAGCATGGAGAAGCAGGCAGTGGGTAGCGATGCAGGCCTCCTCCCAGTCCGTATCAGTCTCTCAACAACCTACATCCCAATGCAACGCCTGCCCCATGCCATGCATGGCGTCACAACCACCCATCCCACCCGCCTTGCCTTCCATCCGTCCACCACAACGTCCGTCCCACCCATACCCGCCCTTGGAACCCGCCTCCCTGCTGCCACACAACGGCCCTTCACGTGCCGCCCTCCAACCCCATTCCCCCCCACCTGGTCGTGTGTGGAGTCGAGGTACGCCTTGGCGAGCTGGCACACGGGGCGGTCGTCGAAGCACCAGTGCCGCAGCACCAGGCCTGGCAGCGGGCAGCGCTCGCTGCCCTGGCACGCGCCGCAGAAGATGCGCCCCGTGTAGTGGCACAGGCGCGGGGCGGCCATGGGGAGAGAAAGGGAGTGCAGCGGCTGGAAGAAGAGCAGGGCGGATGCAGAGGAGCGAGGCGCATGGGTGTATGGGAGAAGCGGCCTGGGGTGGCGGCGAGCAGGGGGATGTGGTGGATCGGGACAGAGGGAGGAAGGGAGTGAGAAGGAGGGTACGAGACATGGAGGTTGCATGGGCAAAAGTATAATGAGTTGGACGGTGTGAGGTGATACGACGTGGTAACATAGAGAGGGACGCAGTCACCATGGCTGCAACGAGGCCCGCGCACCCCCCTTGTTGCTCCCAGCACTGCGCCCTCACCTCCTGCAGGCAGCACAGCAGTGTCGCTGCAGCAGCATCTGCCGCTGCACACTCGCCTCATCATCCCTTACCACCTCCACACTCAGTCGCACCATCAACCCCCCCCCTCCCCCCCGTCTCACCATCTCTCCCCCCGTGCCCCCCGTCAGCCCCGCCACCGCTGCCAAATCCGCCCCCTCGCTTCCCCCCTCACCCTCCATCTCATCCCTGCGCCCCTCCCCGCTCTCCTCCACCCCACCCCCCCCTGCCAGGCGCACCAGTGGCAGCGTCTCCCCCTTGCCCTGACCCCTTGCCGGGGGCGAGCAGGGCACACTTGGCAGAGCGGGGGGCAGCCAGGCGGACAGCCCTCTGCCCAGCCACGTGCCCACCCGCCCCGCTCCGCCCCCCTGCAGCAGAGGGGGGGGCGCCCATGCGCCTGAAGGAGCGTCGGGCGCAGGGGTGGGGGCGAGAGCAGCCCAGGGGGAGTGTTGCATGATGGGGTGGGCGAGGAAGGAGAGGAGGGGCGGCGCCGTGGAGAGGGGGGGGCCTGCAGCGAGGAGGGCAGAGAGCGTGGCCTGGAGAATCTCGCAGCGCCTCTGCACCGCTGGGCCACTGGCGCCGCCCAGGAAGCGACCCGCCTCCTCGCGCACGGCCTGCCAGGCTGCCGCCACAGGAGACGGCGCTGCTGCGGGCTGTGACTGCGGTGGGCGGTGCAGAGGCGGCGAGAGGGCGTGCGAGTGCATGAGCGGCGAGTAGGGCAGTGCGAGGGGCCCGTCGAGCAGCGCGCTCATGTGGTGCTGCAGCGCCACCAGCTCGCGGAACCGCCGCTCCACCTCCCACTCGCGGCCCCTGCGCACGAGCACGCGCATGCGGTACACGGCATGGCTGCGCACGCCCACCAGCCTGTCGCCCAGCGACACCTCCCCCTGCACCAGCCGCGACCCCACCACGTCCGCGCGCGCTATATGCTCCTCCTCCGCCAGCACCGCCTCCCCAAATGCTCCCCCCCCGCCACCTGCGCCCGCGTGCCCCGTGCGCCCATCCGCCCCTCTGAACGGCCTGTGCGGTTGCCCGCCCCTGCCCCGCCCCGCGTGTGCGGGGGGCGCGGCGTCGTTCCCCCCGTCGAGCACGAGCACGTGCTCCATGTCCGCCAGCAGCGCCATGTCCATGTACCGCTCCTGCACCGCCGCGCCCACCTCCATGCGCACGCTCATCTACGGGGGAGAGCGGACGCGGGGGAGAACGGAGGAGGGTGTAGCAAGTTAAACCCAGGAGAGCGCCAGGAGGCGGGTCGCGCGGCACAAGGCGGGAGAGCGCGCCTCACCTCGTCGGTGCTGGACGCCACGGCGAGCCCGCTGTCGTCCTCGCGCACCGCCCACGCGCATGCTTCCGCCACTGCGCGCGGGCTTGACGAGGCCGCGGGGAGGCGGAGGTCGTCAGTGCTGCCGAGGAGCGGGGAGGGCGACGGGGCGGGATGGAGAGGAGAGAAGGCGATGCCACGTGTGCTGGTTGCAATTCCCGCTGTGAGGTCCTCTTCCCCGCCATCCACGTGACTCGCCTCTCGGGCTTCCGTTGCACCACTGCCACCATCGCGGTAGTCTTCACGCTCAACGCAAGCGCCGCCATTAGCGCGTGGCGCGGGCAACTCGGCGACACGAAACGCGGCACTCCGCGGCGTCGTGACGGCACTGCCGGCCTCCGCCCTTCCGCCCGCCGCTGCTCCGTCAGACCCACCTCGCGCCACGCCGCACTCCTCGGCTTCCTCCCAGCCTAAGCCCTGCTCTCGTGCGTCGCATGCGCGCTGCTCCACTGCGCTCGCAGCGTCGCTCACATCGTTCCGTCCATCCGTCTGGACTGTATCGTCACCGTCCATCGCCCTGATGCGCGCAGTGCAGCAAATCTGTGTGAATGGTCGTTGGCAGGAATGTGAAACGCGGGAAGTGAAATGAACAATCGAGGAATGATAGCCGATGCGGTACGACACAACCAAGGGCGAGACTGGCGATTTGGCTGCTTCTGCGATTCTCGCACCATGAATGTCGCATCGCACTGCGAGTTCCTTGCACGAACTCAGTGCTTTTGGCTAGGTTACAAAATATGTTGCGGCAGTACACTCATTGCATTAAGTACTACTTACAACAAGTCCTTCACCAACACATTACCCCCCAAATAATGGGATTCAGAATACTAGTTGGGAGTAAGGGGGAGCAGGACGAATATGGCGTGTCCGTCAAAGGATGTGCACAGGTAAGAAAAGAGGTTGAAAAAAGAGGTCCATACCATTAGAAAGCCTTGTGTATTCCCTTCATAATGTCCTACATATTGGAGTGACGAATAACATGACATGCCGGTTATTGTGTAATTTCGCCTGTTGGAGCCATGCGCCGCACTGCAATGCACTCCACTTGCCCAAACCTCACGGCACCGCCCACATTTGAAAAGAACGTCTGTAAATACGCCAGTACGACTCACACTTCTGTAAGAATGTGTCCTTGTGGTGGAGAGGTTGGTTCAGTCTGGCCTGGTGCCTCAAAGTCGTTCGCGAGAATTTACGGCAACAATTCACCCGATTTGAGATCATGGCGCCGGATGACGCGCGAGATGCGGCGCCTCTGTCTGAACGCGTGGAGATCGCGGGGCGCGAGATCGACGTGGAGGACGACTACGACTACGGGTACGAGGACGAGGGCGACGCGCCCCTCGTGCCCGCCAAGAAGGTGCCCAACGGCAGCGTCTACGAGGCGGCGCGCGCCGGCGACGTGGAGCGGCTGACGTGGCTCGTGCACGAGGAGGGCGTGGACGTGAACGCGCGCGACCGATGGGACTCCGTGCCGCTCTACTACGCTTGCCTCGCTGGTGGGCGCACCGGGTGGGGGGGGGTGTGAAGAGGAAGGGGTAGGGAAGAGGGGGGAGCGGGTTTATGGCGGATGGATGGACAGAGGACGTGAGAAGGCTGGCCGTGATTGTGTGGCTGGCACGGCATGGCACGGCATGGCCTCCATAAAAGTGACGCCTTTATGTCATTCCCAATTCGCTATTCCGTCTTCCACTCTCGCTGGCCCACCCTTCCCGATCTCTCTTCCCCCTTCATACCGCCACTGCCTGTGGGCCCGTGCGCGCGCCGCCCGTCCCCCCAGGCCAGCTGGAGGCGGCGCGCGTGCTGCTGGAGGCGGGCGCGATCTGCAGCGAGCACACGTTCGACGGGGACCGCTGCCACTACGCCGCGCTCACGCTCCGCATCCGCCGCCTGCTCAAGCGCTACGAGATGCGCCCGCCGCCGTTGGACCCGCTGCCCAAGGCGTTCAAGGACCTCCTCGACGCCACTGCCGCCAGAGCCGCGTCTCTCCCCGCCTCCGCTGCCGCCCCTCACGCCGCCCCCTCCGTCCCCGCGGGGCTGCTGGACCCGTGCGACCCCCTGGCGCCCGACGTCGCCTTCCACATCGCCGGGCGCGTCGTGCCCGCGCACAAGCCCATTCTCGCAGCGCGCTCGCACTATTTCCACCACGCCTTCGCCGGCAAGTGGCGTGACAGAACCGAGGTGTTCCTGGCCAACCAGCGGCTGACACATGGCGCGCTGGTGGCGCTGCTGGGTTTCGTGTACTCGGACCGCCTGGACGTGCCCGTGGCGGGCCTGCCCGACCTGGCGCGCGCTTGCCGCGCCGCCAAGTGCGGGGCGGGGCTGGTGAGGGCCGTTGAGCGGGAGCGCGTGCACGACAAGCTGGCGCAGCACAAGGTGCCGCCCACGCGCGCGCTGGGGGTGAGGCGCAGGGGCAGGGGGAGGGGTCGGGGGGAGGGAGGTGGAGAGATAGCGAACGGGGAGGGTGCAGCAGGGGGAGGAGAGGGGAGAGGGGTTGCGGATGGTGGAACAGGAGAGGGGGAGAGGGAGGAGGAGGAGGAGAGAAGCGAGCGAGGGCGGGAGAGGGAGGAGGAGGAGGAGGCGCAGCGGCGGTTCATTCTGACAGCAGCGTCGCTGCCAGAGGAGGAGAGGCTGGTGGGCGGCATGCAGCAGCTGCTGGCGCGGTGCATGGGCAACTCAGACACGCGCGCCATGGAGGCGGACGTGGAGGCAGGGGACGGGTGTGGGGAGGACGGGGGGGAATGCAGTGATTCCGGTGGGGGGACCGGTGCTGGTGGGGGGCAGATGGGGGAGGAGGGTGCTGGAGACGATGGGAGGCGGAGGGTTCGCTTTGGCACGGTAGAGAGTGGTGAGCAGGAGGGACGTGGGTGGATGAGGGGAGAGGACGGGGAATGGAGGGGAGAAGGGGCGAATGGAGGAGAAGCTGTGCGCGTGCAAGGCCCCGACCATGCAGACTGCTGCTTCTCCGTGGCGGGCTGCATGTTCCGCTGCCACCGTGTGATCATGGCGGCGCGCTGTGACTACTTCCGAGTGCTCTTCAACCGACAGGCAGCGCACTCGCACGCACACACACCACCTGCACCACAGCAGCACGCTGCAGTAGTGCTGAGTGGCAGCGGTGCTGTGCTGCCGTGCTTCCAACTGCCTGACCTCACGGCCTACGCCTTCCACAAGATCCTCGAGTTCATGTGTGGCCCCCCTCGCCCTCCTCCTCCGTATCTTGCTCCCGCTATCCTCTCTTGCACACTCTTGCCCCCCACCACTTCTAAGATCCCTCCACCCGTTCTCGTTTCCAACGTTTTTGTCAACTGCAGTTGCCATTCGTGTTGGGCCTTCAACCACCACCCTGCATGCTCGTTAGAGTTGAACCAGGGACTCTCACGCCCCTTGTACTGCAGCAAGATCATGAAACCTAAGGGGGGCACGCGTAACCTGCTTGTTCACCCTCTCGCTGCTCCTCCCTTGTTCCTCTTCTCTTCTCTTCTCTTCCCGTCCTTGCCCCACGCTGTGCTCCACCCAGATACACGGATCGCATTCAGCACATTGCTGTCAGCCAGGTAACCCTTCTGCACCCATCGTCTACCCCCAGCTCCAGTTCTCGCCTGTATCATCAACACACACCTATCACCACCTCCCTTACTTATGTTCGCCTGTCCTGCTGCACCCACCCCTCCTCCCCCTTTCACCCTGCGTGCACCCCCTCAGGCCATAGACGTGATAGATGCAGCGGCGCGCTTCCTGCTCTTCCCCCTCAAGCGTGCCGTGGCCGATGCCCTCATTCCCCAGCTCCACTCAGCCGACATGCCCTCCCTCTGCCACTGGCTGCTGGCTGCTGACCTGTATGCCGCTTCCCTCCCCTCCAGCTGCCCTCGCTCATTCATCCTGCCTCCTCACTCCCTGCGTGTGCCTTAGTGGTCCCACACTTTTCTGCACTGTCGCCATCTCTTGCTCTCCCTCCTCACCACCGTGAGCTCTGTCAGCCCCTTCACGTGCTGGCAGACTGTGTTACTATCATGACAGCCACCCCTTACCATCTCTTCATTGTCTCAGTCTTCTCCACTTATAGCTTCTGCTGCTGTTTCCTCCCTCTCAGCTGGTTGCCTAGCATAGTGTGTTTCCTCTGACGCCCTGTTATGTCGCTTTCTCGTTCCCGTTCCTGCGTGTGCATCTGCCAGCTATGGCGTGTGGAAGCTGAGGGAGTATGTGCTGGACGTCATGGCTGCCAACTTTGACGCCTTTGCAGCCTGCCCTGCCTTCTGTGCTATGCTCGCGCGCCTTCCTCCACCCTCTGGCGACGACTCGGTGCGCACCACAGCACCCTCTCTGCACGGGGAACAGCTGCCTGCGTCTTTGGGGCAAGCATCAGGAGCCATGGGCGGGGATGGAGTGGGAGGGGAGAGCATGAACGTGCTGGACGACTTGAGGGAGAAGTGGCTCGAACTGGAGGGGGCTGAGCTAGAGGAGAGGGATGCCAGCGCTGCTGAATTTGACAAGCGCTTAGAGACCCTTGCAGCACTGGCGCTTGGTGAGGAGGAGGAAACTTAGTGATGACATTAGCATCAGTCGTCGTCAAGGGTTTAAAACCCCACGGCAAAATAGCAGAGGGGGGTGTTAAAATTATATGAGTTATAATTTAATATAGGCTTGGTAGGTTGTTACTGAACCTTTCTGTAGAGGGTACAAACCCCTCCTTGTACTCCTCTCTCTTCCTAATTCACTTCTCTCATTCTGATATGGTATCAGAGCAGGAGATCCTTCCTGCTGGACCGCCTACTCACGCTTCTCGCGCTGCCATGGCGCTCGTGTCGTGCCGCTGGCCGCGTCGTGCCGTGGCGTCGTGGCGTCGTGGCGTGGCGTGGCGTGGCGTGGCGTCGCGCTGTCGTGCCGTCGCTTCTGCTGCGCATTTCTCTCGTCACTGCCTTCCCGCCGTGGCGGCCATGCCGGCCTGTCATGGCGGCTTCGTCGGGCGGCCGTCGCCTCCTCGACGCAATGCCGTGGTGGCGTCGACGCTTTGCCGTGGCAGCGTCACCTTGCTGCCGTTGCAGCGTCGGCGTGCCACCACAGCGTCGACGCCGCGCTCTAGCGGCGTCGTCATGCTGCCGCGGCAGCGTCGATGGGCGGCAGCGGGCAGCACGCCGTCGTAACCGCCACCTGCCCGCCCTCCTGCCAGTAAGCGCCGCGCCACTTATGGCGCGTCGCTGAAGACTCGCCTCGCCCCGCCCCCTCCCCTCCCCCCCCCACCTGCACCTGCTTCCCCTGCATCCCCCCCTTTCTTGCTGCAGCCGATGACTGCCTCATGAGGGTCCTCTCCACCGCTGAGGAGACTGGACATGCCGCCGAGAGGGCGGGGGCCGCTGCACCGGCCTCTAACGTTCAAGCCGCCGCCGCAGCCGCTGTTGCCGCGGGCCTGGTGTCGCCGCACGCCGCCGACGCCGCTGTTGCCGCGGGCCTGGTGCCGCCGCACGCCGCTGCCGCCGCCGCTGTCGTCACTGTCGCCGCTGCCGCCATTGCCATCTCATGGGCCGTGGGAGCTGCCCTCTTCCGGAGTCGTTGCGGCTCCTACTGGGAATGGGGGTGCTGGGCTAGGGGGTGTGGGTGTGGGTGTGGGGGTGTGCGTGGGCTTGACACTACCAAGCCTAGGGGGTGTGTTAAAATTATGTAAGTTATAATTTAATATAGGCTTGGTAGGTTGTTACTGAACCTTTCTGTAGAGGGTACAAACCCCTCCTTGTACTCCTCTCTCTTCCTAATTCACTTCTCTCATTCTGATAGGGGGTCCCTCTTGATGTGGGAGGTCGTGAAAAAAGCTAAGTCCCTTTTCAGCGAAAACCAACCCCCGCACAGCAAATCGTAACGCAGAAACGAAACCGAACAAAACAGCATCTGACGAGCTCCTATTGGTGGAACCTGAAAACGAACCCAAGGACACGCGCGAACAGCACGCCCAACAAAAGTTCCGACAGCCCCAAGTCGCAACCGAGCATCGCACAGTCTGACAACCGAAATACGACGGGGTGTGCGAGCGGGAAGCGGAAACAAGGGGTCCCTCGCTTTTCAAGAGGGACCCCCCTCTGCTATTACTGCAATAGAAAAAAAAACCTCCAGTTAAGCAAACCTGGGCCGACGAGCTGTCGAACACCACAACTCACCGCCATCCACGCTCCACAGACCTGGATCGCCACTACTACTAGACGAAATGGGGACCGCCCACGCTCAGTTTAGCAAACGTCATGAGTCCTAGAAGGCGGCAAGCCTCCCAGTCGAGGGCGACCCTAAAAAGACCGCCGCGAAAAGGTAAAAAAAGGGGGCTGCGCAATGCGGCGCTTCTCGTCCAGCTCAACAAGGAAAGAACAGAGCGCGAGACCAGGGTCGGACGGGGCGCCGAAAATATTGAACAACGGGTGGCTCTAATCCTAGCGCGACGCGTCTAAACGGGAGTGCTGCGGCTTGCGGGACCCAAACGACGGTTTAGAGCCTTGTTGCAGAACCTGGAACCTCATATTTATACGGCTGGGGTATTACAATCCTGTTGGGACCAGCGAACACACTCTCCCACGCTTAGTTATGACCCCTCCCCCGCTCTTCGATGCCGGGAGAACGCCTGTGTCGCAACGCTAGTACTAGGCTAGGAGGTAGTGAAGGCCGCCATGAAAGTGGCGGCGGGGTTTAGCTAGGAGGGTAGGAAAAGTGTCGAGAGAAAAGGGGGTGGAGAAGTAAGAGAGAGGCATACAAGGAGGGGTTTGTACCCTCTACAGAAAGGTTCAGTAACAACCTACCAAGCCTATATAAATTATAACTTAGATAATTTTAACACACCCCCTAGGCTTGGTAGTGTCAAGCCCACACACACACCCCCACACCCCCTAACTAAGCACCCATGCCCAGCAGCAGCTGAGATGCTGTCGGGACTGGTCCAGTCCCACGGCCCGGGAGACAGCTATGGCGGCAGCGGTGGCAGTGACGAGGGCGGGGTCGGCGACGGCGTGCGGCGGCAGCAGGCCAGCGGCAACAGCGGCGTCGGAGGCGGCGGCTCCAATCGTCAGAGGCTACTGCAGCGGCCCCCGCCCTCTCGGCGGCATGGCTAGGCTCCTGGGCGACGGGGACGGCCATCACGAGGCAATCGTCAACTGTGGCAAGGAAGGGGGAACGGAGGGGAAGGAAAGGGGGGGAGCGGGGCGTAGTCCAGAATCACGTCGGCGGCTGCAGAGCGGGCGGCAGGTCTGGCGGCACCACTGACGACGCCGCCACGGCAGCCAAAAGACGCCGCCACAGCGCGACGTCGATGCCGCGGCGGCGAGGCGGAGGTGCGACAGTAGCACGACTAAGCCGCCGCGGCATCTCGGAGAGGCCGCCACGGCGGCACGGAAAGGAAAGGCCGCCACGGCGGCAGGAAAACTAAAGGCCGCCATCGGCGGCACGAAACGAAGACAGGCAAAAGACAAGTACGGGGCGAAAGCGTGGGGAGCAGGCCCGTAAACGGTCACCTGCTCTGAAACCATGTCGCAACGCTAGTACTAGGCTAGGAGGTAGTGAAGGCCGCCATGAAAGTGGCGGCGGGGTTTAGCTAGGAGGGTAGGAAAAGTGTCGAGAGAAAAGGGGGTGGGGAAGTAAGAGAGAGGCATACAAGGAGGGGTTTGTACCCTCTACAGAAAGGAGGGGTTTAACTTAGATAATTTTAACAGCCTGTGCATGATCATCGCCTCGCGTCTTTCACACATCTTGGTGGCCTGTATGCTGCGCTCTCTGGAACACACACCAGTTCTGTGAGCCCCACACTCCACCTCTCACATTTCTGCTCCCACTGCCCCCCCATAGGTTCTGGAATCGCTAAGCCCTGCCCGCCTGCCCACCGTGTCGCATCCACCAGCCCATAAGCATCAAGTACGCTCACCCTCTCCACACACACTCCTCCTCTCTCTCCCTCTCCCACACACACTCTCTCTCCCTCTCTCTCCCTCTCTCTCCCTCCCTCTCTCTTTCTTTCTCTCTCTCTCTCTCTCTCTCTCTCTCTCTCTCTCTCTCTCTCTCTCTCTCTCTCTCTCCCTCCCTCCCTCCCTCTCTCTCTCTCCCTCACAACCTCACCCTCTCTCTCCAATACACTGCTGCATCCCTTGCCCACAGGTGCCCGTGCTCTGTGAAGGATCTATACGGCATCCACCCAATGCATGCGATGCAATAATCACCAAGTGTAACACACCCTTTTGACCAGTCTTCTTTGGGTGAAACACACCCCCACAGCGTGTCCCAGCACGTCTATGCTCTGCAGCTAGCGCGCTGGAACACGGGTGTGTGTGCTGCGCCACAGGAAGCAGCGGGAAGTGGGAGGCAGGAAGCGGGAACAGCGGAAACAGCGATCAGCGAGCAGTGGGGAGCGGCAGGAACCTGGGAGCGGGAATTGGGAACCCCGATGGAGCAGGAAGCCTTCCCGCGGGAAGCATGAAGCAGCGATTAGAGTTTAGCAGTGGGAAGCGGGAAGCAGCGGGTAGCAGGTGGCGGGAAGACAGGCCGGGCAGGATGCGGAGAGGAGCGAGAAGTGTTCCGCAACGGGAAGCTCGAAGCGGGAAGCAGGAAGAGGGAGCGCGGGAAGCCGAAAGCACGGGAATTCGGGAGGCACGGGAAGCGGGAAACGGGAGGCGCGGTAAAGCGGGAGGCGCGGGAAGCGGGAAAGCGAGGGAAAAGTGGGAAGTGGATGCGAGGGAGAGCGAAAAAGCGGGAAGCGAGGGAAAGCGGGTAGCGGGAAGCATGGGAAAGCGGGAAGCGGGACGAAACGGAACTTTCGCCCATTATTCCCTACTTTTATTTCTTGCTCTTTATCGCCCAGGCTAGGCTACGCGCGTGAGGAACTCTACTGATAGCCAATGACGACACTAAAGTTCGAACTCGGAAATCCTAACTTACAAATCCCTCTCACCGCTTATCCTTCCATTTTGGCTGTGAATGGGGGGTTGGTTTGTTTTTGCGAATGTGTCAGTTTGCCTTCGACCAATCACGTGTCCCCTTTCTTAGCCACTGCGACGTTGTTTCAGTTCTGTCAGGGTGGATGGGGTTACCCTCTTTATAACCCTCCGAAATTTCTGGCAAATACGCTTGCGCATTTTACATCGCCATGCACGTGGGTATACGCTGTTGGCCGTCCAATTGGGGGATCCTCGTCACTCGTGCAGCTGAAGCGCATCCACGCCCACTTTGATGGCCCCGCTCTATTGGCTGCTTGAGTTTCCATGCGACGCTGCGTCTCGTCACGCATGACTAGCCCTTGTCAAACATATGTATAACATATATTGGTATAGACTGTATAGGGTCACCTCGTGGAGGGTACAACACTCTTAGATATATACCCCTTGTTGTCTCTCTCTATTCAACACTTGTTAAACTTTAGTTTCTGACATGGTATCATCCGTAAGTTCGACCCCTCCCACCGACCGCTTCCGCCCGTGTCTCCACGGCCCTGTCGCGCATTCTCCTCGGCCCCGTCGCGCCGCCCCCCCCTAGGCCCCGTCGCGCCCCTCCTGGGCCCCTGCCGCGCCTCCTAGACCTTGTCGCGCCCCTCCTGGGCCCCTGCCGTGCCTCCTAGCCTGTCGTGCCCCCCCCTGGGCCCCTTTAGCGCCTCCTAGCCTGTCGCGCCCCCCCCTGGGCCCCGTTAGCGCCTCCTAGCCTGTCGCGCCCCTCCTAGGCCCCCCGTGCCTCCTAGCACCCATCGCGCCTCCCTAGCCCCAGCCGCGCCTGCCTGGCCCCGCCGCGCCTGCCTGGCCCCGCCGCGCCTGCCTGGCCCTGTCGCGCCTGCCTGGCCCCGCCGCGCTCCCTGGCCCCGCCGCGCCTCCCTGGCCCCAGCCGCGCCTGCCTGGCTCCGTCGCGCCTGCCTGGCCCCGCCGCGCCTGCCTGGCCCCGTCGCGCCTCCCTGGCCCCGCCGCGCCTGCCTGGCCCCGCCGCGCCTGCCTGGCCCAGTCGCGCCTCCCTGGCCCCGCCGCGCCTCCCTGGCCCCGCTGTGCCTGCCTGGCTCCGCCGCCCCTGCCTGGCCCCACCGCGCCTGCCAGGCCCCGCCGCGCCTCCCTGGCCCCACTGCGCCTGCCTCGCCCTGCTGCGCCTCCTGGTCCCGCCGCACCTGCCTGGCTCCGCCGCACTGCCTGGCCCCGCCGCGCCTCCTGGCCCCGCGGCCCCTGCCTGCCCGTCGCGCCTGCCTGGCCCTGCCGCGCCTCCTGGACCCGTCGCCCCTGCCTGGCCCCGTCGCGCCTGCCTGGCCCCGCCCCGCCTGCCTGGCCCCGCCAGCACCTGCCTGGCCCCACCGCACCTGCCGTGCCCCCTCGGGCTCCGTCTCCTCTGCTCGCCCGTGCTGAGGCGCTTCGTGGCCGCCGTGCTGGAAGGGGGCTGTCGTTGTGGTTCTGCGTCGCTGTGTTCCTGTGGAGCTGTGCCGCTGACCCTGCACGATGGCGGACTTCGTGCTCCGACTGGACGCCGAGGGCCATGCGGTTGACTTCGCCGCCTGGCTCTCCGATCTCCGCCGCCACCTTACAGGTCAGCGCCAGGATGGCCACTCTTTGGTCGTCCATGTTGACGGCTTGCTCCCCCGCCCCCCCGCACCTGCTCCCCTCCCTGCTGATCCCTCCTCTGCTGACCGTGAGACCTTCTCTACTGCTGCGCTTGCCTGTGCGGTCTGGGACTCCTGAGATGCAGTCGCTCAGGTTGCCATTAGCCACGCCCTCCCTGTCTCTGAGCGCTCGCGTTTTGCTGCTATTGAGACGGCCAAAGCTTATTTAGACGCTGTTATTGCCCGCTATTCCACACCCGCCTCTGCTTCTGCTGGTAGCCTGCTCTTCCCTATGCTTTTCCCAGACCTTGCAGCTTTCCCTACCGTCGCAGACTTTGCCACTCACCTGCGTGCCCTAGAGACCCGCTATCGCACTGCTAGCACTGCTGCCCAGCTCACTGCGCTCCCCCCCCTTTTCTGCATGACGCTCTATTTTATCGCCATGCGCAAGCCAGACCGCCTCGCTAGTGCTTGCGATCACTTCCTTAGCCTGCACCCGGCTGACCTCACTCTCACCGCCTTTGTCGACACCCTCACCGAGTCGAGACTCGCCAGCGCACTATCGCTCAGTCGAGCGGTGCGCCGGCAGTCTCTATCTTTCACGGCTGTGCCCCCTCCCAGTGCATGTTCACTGGCGTTTCGGCTGCGGTCGCCATGGCCACCCCCCTCACTGAGACGGCTGCTATGGTCCACCCGCAGCAGCGCTCGCGCCGCAGTGGCCGTGGTCGCCAGAGTGGTCGGGGTGGTGGCGCCGGTAGTGGTGTTGGTGGTCGTGAAAGTAGTCCGTCTGGGGGGACTAGCCTTGGTGGTCAGGAGCAGCAGCCCCAGCCGCAGCAGGAGAAGCCCGCGCCGCAGCCGCCGTCTCAGCAGCAGTCCCAGCCGCAGCTCCCGCAGCAGTGGTCTCGCCTCCCGTCTGGTTGGCCGGGCATCTCAGGAGGTGGTGGCAGTGGTGGCGGCCCGCGCAGCTTGGCGTCTACCTGTCAGTACCAGCTTCAGACCGGGCCCCTTCGCGGCACTCTGTGCTGCCGCCCGCACCCGACTGCCCGCTGTTTCCGCCGCCTCGACGATCTCTTTCATCGTCGCTTTGGCCCGGCCCCGGATCTCCCTGACTGGCACCGCCTGCTCCGCCAGGGCGTGCCGATCTTTGAGTTAGACATGGATCAGATAGGTGTTGCTTTGCATGCTTTGTATTATGACGCTGCTAGTGTTGCTGGATCTTATTACCCTGTGTTCTCTAGTTTAGGCGTTGCACCGCTGTGTAGCCTAGCCTCCCCTGTTGCGTCAGGCGTAGGACTGCCTAGATTGTCTAGCCTCGTCTCTGCAACGGCTCCGTTCCCTGTCCCCGCCACTGCGGCGCTGTCCTTCACTCTCGACTCCGGTGCTTCTGCCTGCTTCTTCCGCGACCGTTCTGCGCTCACGCCGCTTGCTACGCCAGCTGTCGTCTCTCTCGCTGACCCCTCTGCGGGTCCTGTCGTCGCTCGCAGTTCTACGTCCCTTCCCTGTTATTGCAGTTCCCTCGGGCTCCCTTACAGGCCTCCACGTTCCCTCATTCTCGAGGAACCTGGTTGGTGTCGGCTGTCTTCAGGACCTCGGCGTCACCACCACGTTCCCCGGGCACGAGCGGTTCGCTGTCTATTCTGAGGCTGTCTCAGGTTCCCCCCTTGCGACGTTCCCCCGAGACCCAATGTCCGGTCTGTTTACCCTAGACACCGCTTCCCCTCCGGTTGGTACATCCTCCCAGGTTGCTGCAGCTTGCTCGTGTGTTTCCCTCACTCACCCGTCCCTTCTCTGGCACCACCGCTTAGGTCACCCTGCCCTCCCTCGTCTGCGTCACATGTCCCAGCACGGTCTTGTCTTAGGTCTCCCTGCGTCGCTCCCCGCCCTTCCTCCCTCGACTGCGCCACCATGCACGCCTTGCGTCGAGGGCTGGCTCCGCAGTTCTCCTCACTCCTCCTCGCTGCGCCCTGCTACTGCCCCCCTTCAGACCCTGCACCTGGACGTTTGGGGCCCTACCCCCGTCCCCGGACCGCGTGGTGAGCGCTACTTCCTTGTGCTCGTTGACGACTACACGCGCTACACCACGGTTTTTCCCATGGAGCGGAAGGCCGACGTGCCAGACGTTCTTCTCCCGTGGGTTGTGGCTGCGCGTCTCCACCGCGGTCTCCCCGTGTTGTGTCTCCACTCTGACCGTGGCGGCGAGTTCGCCTCTGGTCAGCTTGGACAGTTCTGTCGTGCGGAGGGCATCACCCAGTCGTACACCTTGCCGGACTCGCCACAGCAGAATGGGGTTGTTGAGCGCCGCATCGGCTTGGTCATGGAGGTCGCCCGTACCTCCATGATCCATGCCGATGCCCCCCATTTTGTGTAGCCGTTCGCTGTTCGCTACGCTGCTCACCAGCTTAACCTCTTGCCACACTCCCAGCGGCCGCAGGTTTCGCCGACCCTCCTTTGGACCGGGTCCCCCGGTGACGCGTCTGCGTTCCACGTCTGGGGCTGCCTTGCTCACGTTCATGCCTCTGGCACGGACAAGCTCACTGCCCGCACTGTCCCCTGTGTCTTCCTCGGTTTTCCCCTGGACTCGCCTGACTGG